TTTCTTTTAAAATTGAATTTGTAAACTGCTTGAATGAGCAATCGAGTTTGGGAATAAAAATTGGTGGAATTGTTGGGAACACGAATTAGAAACACATAAATTAAAAGGCCAACCACCCTACTAAGATTTAGTTCTAAAAGATGAATTACACCTATCAAATGTGCACGTAATTAAAGTCAAGTTATGCAAACTGGTTCAACTCCTATTCCATACCGCTTTTGGTTTGTTTAGAAGCTTAGACTAGTGTTTACATATGTCTATGCAACTCTAGAATCCTAAATAAATCAAGTTCCAACTTACGTTTAACGGGTAAGAGAGCCTATGTCTAGGATCTTGTTTTAGTTCTTATTTCTAAGTAACTTCCCGTTTTACCTTGATGAGATCCGTTTGACTCTAACCTTTTCAGAATTAAATTCAAACTAATGTGATTTAAACAAGTGGCCAACTAGAAAATCAATTGGATAAATTAGATCAATCAAGATAAGCAAAAGAGAGCGTAATACGACGTGCTCCTGATAGATGTAATTTAAATAGATGAACTAAACTCGTAGGAGGGTTGAAGAAACAATTTACCTACTCATGGAATTGAAAGAAATTAAAACACAAGAGAAGATAACAAAAGAAAGCATTTTAATTAGAATTGGAAAGAAAGTACAGAATAGAATAAATTGAATTGCAATCAAATAACAAGAGTAATTGTAGAGAAATAATTGAAAACAAAACTTAAATAAAAACTACAAAACTAAAGTAGAAAGGAAAACAAACGTATGGAAAAATGAGATGATACAAATGATGCTTGGAGGCTTCTTTTATAGGCCATGGACGTAACAAGTATTTGATAAATTCAAGGGAAGTTGACAACCACTTTTTGTAAGGATATTAGGAACTAATAACAAATCTTGAACCAATTACTTGGTCAAAAGTTGTTATTCCTGTTTTGGCAATCTAGGCATCCAACGTGGCTGAAGCATTGTGAAGCTGGAATTTCAACGTAACTTGGCTGGCTCATTCTTCTAGTAAACTAAAATTTCTGGTCCTGCGATGTGTCTGACGCATTGTGATCATAAATCTTCACTTTTCCTTACAAAATAAGTATATTTACCCAAATTAGCTTTCATTTACCTATAACTGAATTCCAAAGTCCCTAATCACAAATTATGCACATTTTCCCTAAATTATATGCATGAATATACATGTTTCATCCCAAATAACCGTCAACTAAGCATACAAACCTACCATTTTTAGCATTTAATCAAGGCTTATCAGTTCCCTTGTCTTTTCAGCTCTCAAAAGTGTGTATCCATTGGGATATGCGTATGGCGGCTAGGGCAACATTCCCCTTTTGTATCGGGTTCTAAATTTATGGCACCCAGCTGAAAATTGTATAGACACGGTAAATCCCGTATTTTTGGAATTAATTGTATGGTCACTCCATGATCTGGAATCGCTATGCTCTAGCTTTTATATGCTCTGTTCTTGAAAATGTTTTGACTGCTCTTCTCTGGTTCAACACTTCCTTCTCTTCTTAGCTCTTCTTTAAAAATCTATGCAAATGAACCACAAATACGAGAGTTTATGCTGTTTTTGGCCAAAGTTCTCAAGACTAAGGATATTTAGCTAAGAATTTACATTTTAACACTATTCATGCTAATTATGACCTAAAACCGACACACTTTGACATTTTAATGCACATTTTCACCCAAATAATCACCAGAATAACTCTCTTTTGGAGAGTTATCAAGTATACAACCGAATGTGGTCCAGTGCTATTTCTTGAGCAGACATGTGTCTTGCTCGACAATGCTACCATGTGGTGCCTAACCGCATGTGGTCCCGTGTTTTTTGAAGATGGACACGTGTCTTGCTTGATTTTTACCCCCAACAAATATATAAAAACATTTAATAAAATAACTACTCACAAAGCCCAATATTAATATACATCTAAACATTTAAATAAAATATCAACTCACAAATTCTTCTGAAGACTCCGTAAAAGTAAATAGCTGAAAAACAGTTTAGAAGGTAACCAGTGGCAAATCTTACAAACGGAGTCACAAATTCATGTTAAACAATACTCCAATACTATCAAGAACTCCTTTTAGCCGATTCACTAAAGTTTTTGCAATAAGTTTGTAGATCAGATTACAAAGACTAATGGGGTGAAAGTCCTTCGTTTCCTTAATGTCTTTCTTCTTGAGGATAAGAATGATATGTGTTTTGTTTAGCGGCTAAAAGTGAAGCATCTTGATTTAGCACATTTAGGCAAATGTTAACTTCGTCTCCAACTACATCCCAATACTTCCGAAAAAACATGGCTTGGACCCATCAGGGCCTGGAACCTTACAAGGGTGCATACTTTTTAAGGCCCTCTCAATTTCCTCCCTCACGAACTCATTGATTAGATTAGAGTTTTGAATGTCACTAACTCTAAACCCAACGCAGATTGTGACCTCTTCTATCGATGACTCATCAGGCCTTGCAAAAGAAAGAAAGTTCCCTTAAAATAGTCCATTGCAATAGACTTTACATCTTCTTCTTTGTCCCTCCAAATGTCGTATGTATCCCAGAAATTCAGTTGGTCTTCCTGTTTTGACTGGCCCGAATATGGAACCATTTGGTATCTCGATCTCCCCGGTTTAGCCAATCATCTCTAGACCTTTTGGTATTTCTTTGATACCTTAAAGGAGTTGAGTCATGATGTTCAGGTTGAGAAATAGAATGGAGACTTCAGATCTCATTCTCTCATTAAATGGAAGGGGTAAACCTTATTACTTAGACAAATCTATGCATTCACGAACAATGAGAATTATAAAAATCTTTACAAATACATTTTGTAGAAGTAAAAATTATATATATCATATTTATAAAAGTTAACTTAATAACACTTGTATAATCAATAAAAAAACAAATTTTGGTTTTTTTTATTTACTTTTTTTTTTAGTATGACGCTTGAGTAGAGAGGAGAAGTACATGAATGAACCGATACCACGTCCGAATGAGAGGGATCTTGAGATCATGGAAGAATGACCAAGAAAGACTTTAAAAGAAATGATAGTCACTATAGTCACTACCTATACTAAGGAGGTGCAACTTTTTTTTCGGTAACTCAATCGTAAGTAGGTCAGAACTAAGATGGTGGCGCAACCAGGTCGCAGGGGATGCAAGGGAATGCCGGGGCGATTAGGGCCAAATCCGGATTCCAAATCCTAGTTCGAATCCTGGGCCTGGGGCGTTACAGAATGGTATCAGAGCGGACCTCTCCCAATATAATGTGGAAACAAGCAGGCATATGATGCCCGAGTAGAGAGGAATGATACATAAATGAACCGATATCACATCTGAATGCGAGAGGGATCTTGAGATCATAGAAGAATTGCCAAAAAAGACTTAAAAGAAATGATAGTCACTACCTATACTAACAAGGTGCATCTTCCTTTTCGGTAACTCAATCGTAAGAACTCTAAAGTTAAGCGCGTGCTTAACTTGAAGCAATCTTCGGCTGGGTAACCTCCTAGTATAGTTGTTCTGTTGATATTATTGGTTTATTGTGCATTCATTCAGAATTTATTAGTCAAAGTTCAGGTTAGAGTTAAGAAAGAAAGTTGACGATTAATTTCGTAGCTAATCGGGATCTGTGGTCGGTAGGTGTTTTGGGACGGGACGTGTCATTAAGTACTAAACATCTTTAGTTTTATTTTTAAAAATAGAAAAAATAATAAATGAAAATAAGGGAAAAAAAACCTCCGTGTAATGGAGCCAAAAAAAAAATCCTTTTACAACAAAAAATAATTAGTTTTTAAAAAGTATAAAAAAAATCTCTTTTTCTAAATTTTTGTCTTAAAAATTTAATAGGATCAATAGAAGATAAAAGAGTCCATAAATATCTGAGTATTTTTTAAAACAAGAAAAAGAAGAAAGAAGAAAGAAAGGAGAGAAGATATTTATTGAAGATAGTAGGGTGATTATTATTGGGCAGAATCAGTGAGCCATGTCCAACCTAAAAGCCTTTTATCCAATCAAACACCTTAAAATCCCTATCCATTTCAATCCACTCCCATTACTCACTATCCAAATTGATAGAGAAATGAGTGGTTCTCCATCTCCAAACTTTGCAACCAACTCCATCTCCACATTCCCCCATTTCTAAATTATCAAAATCCCCCAACAAAAAAAACTTGAAAATTACTCAAAAAAAAACTTAATCTACAAAACCAAAAACCAAAAATAATAGTTATATCTTCATTTCCTTTCCTAGCTAGAGGAAGCTGTGAAATTTGAGTGGCAATGGCGTCTTCTTCCTCCTCCACATTTGCTCTGTCTTCCTCCTCCACCCTCCTCGACTCCAAGGCCCCCCGCCAATCCGCTACGCCGACGTCACACGTCCCGC